TTAGCTTAGAAATAGGGGGGTCAAGCTTAATAAAATTTTAAGTAATTACAAAAAATATATAAAAAAAACATTTTAGCAGCCATATATAGCTGCTAGACAGTTTAAGGGATATTCAATTTACGGTCTATTATATTGCATTGACAACAATTAGATAATGACATATTTTGTTCTTTTAATTAAAAATTTGTAGCTTCTAACCTTTTTTCTTTTTTGAAATTAAAAGTAAACAAGTATGGACAAACCATTTTCAGAAGTAGCTTCAGAAGAAAATTAGAACCAATTTCTTCAAATACTACAGATAAGCACTGTATAATACAGACTAAAAAATTCTACTATATAAATATTCATATTTTTGGAGGCCATAGAATGGTATTATACTGAGAATATCCTATATAAAAAAATTTTTTATAAGTAAAACATTTAGTATCCAGACTTTCTTTAGCCCATACTATATGGTATTTAACATAATGTTATTATTAATTGTGGAATAATTTTCTAAATCAATCTATAATATGTTAGTAGTTTCTCTTAAACGTAGTGTTTTTAATGAAAAAAGACTTTTTCAAATTGGGATTGTTGTGAATCATTTTTAAAGAAATGGGCTAGAAAACAAGGTTTTTGTATAATTAAAGATCAGGGACATTGTGAAGAAGGTGTAGTTTGACAACGGGCGTTTATATGTGTTTATAGTCAGAATTATGACTCAAATTCGAAGAAAGATACTGGTTCGAAAAAGGCAGGGTACTCTTTTTTAATTAATGCTTCTTTTTCTAAAATTAATAATCCAGAGGCATTGGTGTTTATTAACAAGATGAAAGACAAATATAACCATAAATTAGATAGGTTGATGATTGAATTTGAAGAATCTAAAAAATTCACAAATGAAATATTAGAAGACATTAAGTTTATGACAGGTTTATGCAAGTTTGGCGTAACTATATAAAGGAAATTTTTAAAAAACAAATATCCCTTACAACCTATTTTTCCAAAGGATCTTTATGCTACTATCAACAAATTTTGCTCAATACATAAAACATTATCAAACGATGCAGCATAAGTCTCAAATTGCTTGATCATTAGAAGAAGATTGATTCTCAGTGGTTTGTAGTATATGGGTAGGATGATAATAATGTTTTAACCTATTTATTTTGGATGACACCAATGCAGATCAAGAACTGAGTCCAATATTCTGATTGTATTCTTAACAATATAACCCACAAAACCAACAGATATAGTATAGCACTATTATTGTTTGTAGGATTTAATAAAGATCGTCGCAATATCTTGCTCCTCAAGGTCTTATAGCTAATGAAACTATTGACTCTCATTATTACCCAGGTTAGTTTAAGTTGATAAAAATTTTTTAAATTGATTATTTACAACTCTGGTTGCAAATAATTGATCAATTATTGAGTTTATACATATTTGTTAACTGGTTGAATCTTTACTAATTGTTTTGATCTTTAAATCAGGTGTTATTCTTACTGATGCAGATCTAGTAGTGGATTCTTTTATTTGTCAAACCTTTCCTTTAAGAGTAGGGTGAACATAAATCATTTATCATATGATCTCACGTGCTAAAAAGTTTTTATACAAAAATTGAACATATGCTATTAGTAAAATGTTTTAAGGCCACAACTAAACTTTACCAAAACTTCATAATATATAGATTAAAACCTTTTCTTTATGATAATAAAAGTTTTGGTCCTTATATCATTTAAAAAAAATCTACCTCTATATATCGTTAAATTCTCTAGGTCGATTAAAATATGCCTAAATAATACAAAATTTACTAATTCTTATTGGTCGAATTTCTATTGTTTACAGTTCTGATTGGTCAAATCAATGTAAATCATATAATATCATATGATTTGCAATGTGATTACTATTAAAAATAATCTACATTCACCCTACTCTTAACTTACTCCATTCATTATGCTTATCATCTCACCCAGAACTTGCACAAAAATCTTAGAAATGTTTTGGGTGATGATTATCAAAAGTTCTTAGGTGATTTTTATCTTTGTAGTGATAGTTTTGTAGAAGATGACTTCCAACAAGGATATGATAAACTTACAGAAAACTACTCTAATGCTCAAAATTACCTGAAGTTCATTTATAGATTAAAGACATATTTGGCTCATTGCTTTATTAGCTTTAGATTCACTGGTGGCATAATAGCAACTTCTTGTGTAGAATCTGTAAATGGATGTTTAAAGTGCTTGTTGCACAATTCAAATGTTTTGTTGTGTGACCTTATAAGTGAAATTCAAAGACTTCATGACTTGCAGGATAAGGAAAATGAATATAAATTTTGGAGATTGTCAATACCCACTATATGAAATCTACATCAAGTTAATTTTTTGTTTATAAAAGTTGATAAATGTCTTCAAAAATATCTCACAGCCTCTTTGTTAAAAATACATCATGATGAAATGAATCAGGCTCTTTATTATATTGTGAATTTGGCTAATCAGAAAAATACAGAAAATATTAATGAGGTGAGTAACTAGTTTATAGTGTAGAATATTAGTTAAGTATCAATTTTGAATATAGGGCAGTATGATCATGAAGATATAGTGCTGCTATCTTTGTATATTCAATTATTTTGACAAAAAAATATTTAGGTATAGACTAATGGTAAGGTGATGGATAGTATTAGAAAGAAAGTTATAGGGATTATATTTTTAATTTTCACTAATATTTCTATAGCTATTATATGAATATGATTTGAGACTGTATCATTACCAATCCAAATTTGTTATTAGGTTGGATTATTACTATACACCATATTTTCGCTTAATAATACACAAGGTGTAATTTCAAAATTTGGCCTAAATTAAGCTTAATTCAGACCAAAATTCGAAATAATGCTCATGGTGTTATTATACAAAAATACAGATACTAGGTTAAATTGATCAAATTTTTACAGAAAAATTGTTTTGCAAGCAAATAATTTTTTTTAAATATTGTAAGGTTAACAAATATAATTAAATAATAGGTAAATTTGCATTTGACGATAAAGCATCTGTCGATATCCTACAAGCGATGTTAAAAAGAATGATCAAATTCCTTAGTTCACATAATGTTAAAGAAATTTGGTCTGTAAATATTGCGAACTCATTACAGACCAAACATCATATCATTTTGTTACAAAATTAGAGCCATCACTGCTTTTGTCTTTCTGCTATTCAGCAAAGAATTGTTTGTAGGCATTTTTTCAGGTAATGTTAGCTACACAAAATGCCTACTTTTATATTATATTAATTCCAACTTGGTGGTACCAGTATAATGAAAGCAGAGATGGTTCCGAAGAGCCTTTTTTACAGGTAGACAAATTTGAGCATAATCAAGCAATTACACAGTATTCAAATGGTGTAGTGACGACTTGTGTAATTTTGACTAGGGTGAAAAAGATTTTTGTGAAAGAAATCTAACCATTCTTGAACAAAAAACTATTTATGGAAAATTGCACAGCATATATAAAAAGGTTCTTAACAGAGCATTGCAAAATAAATTAAAATCACAGCAATATATAATCCATTACATATTTGAATAGTTAATGCTTCATTGTTCAAATAGCTCATGCTTTATCATATTCAATATCATAATGATTGGTCTTCCTGTAGATATCTTATTTGTAATGATATTCAAATTATATAGCTATTATCTAACACTTCTGATGCAATGTATAGTAAAATGCTATAAATACTATCCTAGAACTGCAATGTTAAGATATTAGATCCAACTAATATAAAAAAAAAAAAAAAAAAAGAGCAAAAAATAGACAAAGCATCAATAAGCTTTTCAAAATTATGATGAAATTAGTAATTCCATATCAAAGCATTCGCTATTGCTCATGATATACCATAATTTTTTGCAAATCTAATTTCTCATTCATAATCTATATCTATATTAAATGCAGCAGAAATATTATAATCTGAAAATAACTCTCAAGTATATCACTTTAACATTTTACTATAGCATTGTTCACAACCTTCAACATGATTCAATATCTCTAATCAATCAAAAGCTTTTTTTTATTACTAGCTATATCTTGCAAAATTAATGGCACTTCCATGAGTACTTCACTAAACTTTTGCTGTAGTAATATGCTCAGGTGTCATTGTCGAATCAAATATTAAATAGTTTTATAAGCATAATATACTTTCTGTTTGCTATTTGGGCGCTTTGCAATAGA